CTGAGCAGCAGCACCCACGCCGGCGTGGGCTGCGAGGCCATCGCTGGGCGAAGCCGTACTCATGCGGCGGCCGAAAAACCTCACCTGGGCAATAGCAGAGAACGGGGGTGAGCAGAGCAAACCCACGAAGAGCCCCCGGCCACCACCTCGGCCCCCAACAACCCAACCTCACCAAAACCGTGATGCTCCCATCACCCTTCAGCTGCCCTCCCGCAGGGGCAGGCAGCAAGGTCCTTCCTTTGGCTCGGCTTCAGTGACACCCCTGGCACCGCCTGGGAAAAGGACTCGGGCAAACCCTCTCCCAGCCAGAGAGCTGCAAACAGGGGCCGAGGGGGAGGGCAGTCGGGTTTGTCACCATTTGCAATTTAACCGGTCGGCGACTCAGTAGGATGTTGATAAAGTCATCGGAGACCGCACGACAACAGGATTTAACTGCTTCTTTTAGAGAATACTGGAAAATTGCAGAATTAGACCAGGAAGAAAGGAAAGAGGGTAGCTGGAGACCTGTCGGGATGCCCGGGGGAGCAGTGGTGGGTCTCCCACGCCCACACTCCAACACAGGCTCACACCCTTCTAAAATGCAAACCAGAAGCTCCACATTACTTTCCACATATCCCAGGAAAGGCGAGGAGCTCCAGCTGCCGCAGGTTGTCTCTAACTTCAGCTGGCTGCTGTTAGAAACATAAAGCGATTATTGCATTTTCCTCATCTACGCCCCAAAGGGTCTTATTCCCTCTGTGACCAATGGTGCACAGTATTTTTCCCACGTCCCTGAATGAAGGGAACTAATTTAAGCAGAAACAAATACCGCTGCGGTACCACTCGTGAAGCCATCCCAAAACCAGCAGCTTTCAGGACCATCCCAATCCCTGCGCCCAGGCTGTGGGGAGCCCTCCAGGAACAGGCGACGCTAATGCATCGTTAAATACACAGCTCATACTATTACAATTCCTTAAAACGATGAAAACGTTCCTCGGAAACCAAGCGGGACAGGAAAACCCCGAGAGGACGCGGCGGCCGAG